TGCCTGGCAGAGAGAGAGACAGTCCACACTGACACTGACCGGACCCTGCTGGACACCAGCACTGCCCTGTGCCTGGCAGACTGGAACTGACCAGACCCTGCTGGACACCAGCACTGGCCTGTGCCTGGCAGAGAGGGACAGTGTTAATACTGCTGGACACTCGCGCTGGATGCTGCTGCCCCAGGCAGAGGAGGGGCAGAGAGAGAGGTCTTGACCAGGAAACACTGCGCGGGGGCTGGGAGAGAGCAGAGGCGGCTGCGGGCGGAAAGTCTGGCCCAGGGGGCTGCAGAGAGAGAGGCGGGTGGCGGGTGGGTAGCAGGTTACTATGGAGACGGCGAGGGACAGGAAGTCGGCCTGTGACAGGATGAGGCAGCGCGGTCAGGAACGCAGACATGCTCTGTGAACCGCGGCCGCCGAGCAGAGCAGGGGAGACACGTCCAGCCCTGCTGACCCCGTGACCCCTGTGACCCTGGTGTCAGGGACAGCCTGAAGGCTGCACCACCTCTCCAGCGGGCATGCAGCCTGCCCCCTGTGCTCTATCACCGAATCACACTGCGCCACTACCTGCCGCACTGGTGACCTGGAGCCGAGTCTGCATGGTGCGCCACTGCAGTGACCTGTGACCCCGGCATGCCCCCTGACCCCCAAACAGCCCCCGTCAACCTTTTTCGTAACGGTCTCGCTGCAGGCTGGCCTGACGTACATCAGCACAGAAGAACAGTCACAGGAGGGAGGAGCCCATCGGCCTGTCCAGCCCGTCCTGGCGTTAGTAGTTAACCGATCCCAGGATTTCATCCAGCTGTGCGTTGAAAGAAGTCAGGGTATCTGCTTCAAGCACATCCCTGGACATCCTGTTCCACAGCCCCACCACTCTTTGTGTAAAGCAGCACCTCCTGTCCTCTATTCCTGTTCTTTGAACAGCACCGCTGGAGAGTTCAATACCTCCAGAGGAGCTGTCAGGTGACAGCTGTGCACAGACTTAACAAACATTGCAAACTGAGCGTCATGAATCAGTTAACTACCTGCCGACTCAGGAGCAGTGGACTGACACCTGCAAAGGTAACCATGCATGTAGCCAATCACTCTAGACCAGGGCAGCACAAGGGCACTTCTGTTTCACAGCTCTGGGGTCCTGAGCTCAATTCCAGAGGGAGGGACGTTCTGAGTGGAGTTTGCATGTTCCCCCAGTGCCCAGGTTGGTTTTCCCTGGGGATTCCATTCTCCTCCCAGCATCCCAGAGATGCACATGCAGAACCCAGGCTTGAACCCACAATCCCTAGAATGTATTTTGCATCTCTCCATGGGAAGATCAGTTTAATAACAGGTGCAGGAGAACTCAGCTGGGAAGGCCTAGTCTAGAGAGATCAGCTCCCTTGTATTTCTATATTTGTGACACTTAATCAGTGTGTATTTCTGTACCAATCCAGTTTTGCCACATAAACCCTGACACTGCGCTGCGGAGACACAGCGGGCTGTACCACTCACCGATGTACTGGGGGGTGCCGCACAGGCTCTTGAACTCCACCGCCTCGTCCAGGCGCTGGGCCAGCCCGAAGTCGATGAGCTTGATGTGGGGGTGAGGCACCACCTTGTCGAGCAGCATGATGTTCTCCGGCTGAACACGCCAAGGGAAAAGACCACGCGTGATTACAGCACCCGCGCGCACATGCACAGACAGGAACTACCCAATCACAGCCCTGGGTGCTTCTGTTGGTATCGGCCCAATATTACACTCTGCACTGCCAGAGCATCAGCTTTGGCCAAACCCCTGTCAGGGGTCACAAGTCAAAGGTCACAGGTGTACATGGATATATGAGGCCTTATCAATTAGTTGACGGAAACTTCGATCCCCCACAATCGAAAAGGGCCGGACATCTAGTGCCAGACACCCCGCGATTCTGTCTGTGGCTGCTGCAGCCCTCGCCCTGTCCTTGGCAGCGCTGAACTTGCTACTGCTTCTGTCCTCTTGCGAACGCTCGCTGCCTCATGTTCTTTAAATAACATCACTGGAGTGACGAGTTTCCAAATGACCTATTAGATCAGTGGTATTGAAACTCTTTGCTCTGTTTCCTCCTCGCTGTGCTTCGGCCGAACATTCGCTGCAGACTGCGATTCTGTTGCGCTCTGCCGAAATGGTGAAAACGTTCCACGCCACCGACACTTTCACTCTGTGAAAGTGAGTGAAAATCTGTGAAAATGAGGTGGCTCTGTGGCTCAGGATCTGCGCCTGTGGCTGGCAGGTTGCTGGTTCAAACCCTGCGACCGGCAGAGGAATCCTAAGTGTTGGGCCCCTGAGGAAGGCCCTTAACCCCAGCTGCTCCTGGGGTGCTGTACAATGTCTGACCCTGCACTCTGACCCCAGACTTCTCTCTCCCTGTGTGCCTGTGTCTCCCCTGAGAGCAAGCTGGGGTCTGTGAAAAAATACAAATTCCTGATGCAACAAATTGCACAGGGCCAAGAGAGTGATCTCTGCGGCAGCTGTACTGGACCCAGTCGAGTGCGTCGGTGCGTCAGTGCGCGCACATAAAAAAACGAGTAATGCAAACACAATAGGGCCCCGCATTATCGATTGTAATTCCAATATCGGAGCGATAATAATAATTCCATTTTCCTATTTCTGGGAGAATAACAGACTGGCCCCCGATGCATGGCGCACCCCGAGGTCCTACCTTGAGGTCGAAGTGGGCGAAGTGCTTGGAGTGCATGAAGCCCACGGCCTTCAGGATCTGCACCATGAACTCGATGGCGTCGGTCTCGGACAGGTTCTCCTTCTCCGCAATGAAGTCGAACAGCTCCCCTCCGCTGATCCTGAAACACAGACTGCTCCATCACTCCAGCTCACACAGGCGACACGAGCCACCACCAGACAGACACACACAGAGACCTGACAGATGGACACACTGCTGGACAGATGGACACACACAGACACCGTCAGACAGATGGACACA